TTTTTTTTTTTCTTAGCGTTGTAGATTCGAATACATGTGATAAAATTCGAACAATAAGGGCCCGAATCACATGTAATAATGCAAGAAATATCGATTTTCGTTATCTTAAAGGCTACTAGTAAAGATAGACAAACAAGAAGACTTCATATCTTTAAGACTTTTTGCATTTATTTGGCATCAGATAATACACTAATAATCCTAGTATATTCCGACCAAATGACCTCTGAAGCCCGAACCCACAAATAGTGCGCTTGGGCTGCCTGTGGGTAAAATAGAGTGGTCACGAGATTACGGACATGATCACAGACAAGATGAATTTGCTTGATATTAAATCAAATTGTTCCCACTACTTCTGTAAGAATTGAAAAGGGGCAACAAATGAGAATTTAAATTTTGATCTCAGGGTTTAAAGGGATAGGGGCCAACAGGTGTATTTTATGGCTGTGACAAACCCCAAAAAACTCTCTAGCTTAGTGATTTATTCATAATTAAAAAACAGTGCATTTGCAACAGTTAAAGGGAATGCAGTGGTCTAAACTAATATGTGAAAAGGGCACCATTAATTTTGTCAATGAGACTTATAGGAAAGGGTTTAACTTTTTATTTGCATATAATGAGAAACGATGTGTCAAAACAAGTTTTTTTTCTTACATTCCATATAAAGCAACAAGAAAAAAAAAATAATGATAATAAAAAATAACTGCAAGAAAGGTACTAAAAATACAGTTTGAAAATCATGTCACTTAAGTAGTGACTGTCGATATTAAAACAGAAGCGTTAAGCTCCTTTATCGAACGTTGATCGGCTAAAATTTTCCATAAATTAACCACGGATCCTTGCGGATGGGATCGGAAAAATTCCGAGAACAAATTAAAAATGCAATACATGATAAACATCAGAAGTTACACTCCTTACAATAGATGTTAATCTTAAGAGACGCTTAAATATTAAGAGAAATTACACAGTATCATTATTATAATTCTGATAGTTTTAATTGCCTGTAAAAACCATGAGCTGCATGAAAACAGGAATACTAGCAAACTGGCCAAAACTACCAAAAATAGGAATAGAAGTAATTTCCTGAAAGTCCAGACGAGGACGAAAGGTACTTTAGACGGTTCCCGCGGAAACATAATAACATAGAACATATCTGTTTCAGCATGTTCAGTACAACGAATTCATGACAGGCGAAGGTTTATGTTGAGCACTATTTTAAACGTGTACATCTAAACAAGTTATAAATGAATCTTCCAGACATCTAATAGTACCTCCCGATTAAACATCCCTAAGTTAATTCATCATACAGTAACCACTGAAGGGCATGCCCTTCATTTTAAACATGATAGCCTTTTCCAGGCGTTCAGATCGGTAAAGCGCGGTGTTCAGATGGTGGGGAGCGAGTTAAATCGTACGCGGGAAAAACGAGAGGAGACTGGGAGAGAGAAAGGCTCCAAATTGATCCATTGTTATCAGAATCGTATTCTGAATTGAAATGGCAATGGAAACATTACCAAAGAAAGGGAGAAACTTAAACAAGGCCTGTCCAAGCTTACCACGAATAAGTCACGAGTTTGTGTGCAAGCTTGACAGAAGCCAAGGTAATTGGATACAGAAGATAGGACATGGCCATGTTTGCGATGAAATAATTTATCGTCTCTCTTAAGTTTGGCGTTTTATAAACTAACTAACTAACTAACTAACTAACTAACTAACTACGTAAATAAATAATGATTTGGTGGTGGCACATCCACAAAGTGGTTCTTCATCTACCTGATTCCCGGTCGAATTGCAATTTGCAAATGTTGGTTTTTGAGGAGAGGGGAAAACCGGAAACATCTCGGAGCAAAATTGGAGAAGCAACAACAAACTCAACACACATATTGCGTCAACGCCGGGATTTGAACCCGGGCGACATTGGTGGGAGACGAGCGCTCTCATCACTGCCGCATCCTTGCTCCCCCAACAGACGATCGCTACAATGAGAAAGTTCCCAGCAAAGAAACGGCGAGAATCAGACTGAAGGCTAAAGTCCCTAAGATTTTTCAAGCAGCTCGAAGACTCGATCGATCCATTCCAAGTTGTTGAGTTTATGTTTGTGACGCGCGGGAAACGCTCTACACCGCCTTCTTTTTAGTCAAAGCAAACTGAGAAAGGGAAAAGCTTACGTAAGGCCTAACCAAGCTGCTGAGCCCTCTCCAAAGTAAGTTTGTATAATGGTGTCAGTTATCTAATGAATTTAATAGCCTTAAGCCAACCAGCCTGTTATAATGTGTGCATAAAACAGGCAGTTTTTATGTACATCACTTACTTCTCGATCGAACTAAAAAGAAGGAGTCTGCTGTCGGCAAAGGGAAACTAGCAGGTTCTTCCTCAACAAATAGTCGAGGCTTGTTACTTCTTTGCTGACTGCAGTTTTAATTGTTACGAATTTCAATACTTGTTGGTTACAATTCTATCGCTCGATAACTGGCAATCATTTTTATAATGACCAAAGTGACCCAAACGCTCAACTCATATTAATGCTTGAGTAAGTCTTGTAATTATTGGCTGAGAGAAACTCATTAGCATTAAACCTTCGAGTTATTTACTTTGTCAAATCGATTTTTTTCTGTCTTAAATTTGACTTTCAAGCTTAGGTTGTCCAGTAAATATGAAACCTAGGAGAGCGAAGAGAGAGAACAAAGAATTGGTTTCTAAACAAAATGTAAACAATATCATACAGTAACAAGACCTGCATGTTAGTTTAGCGCCGAGCGAAGTGAGTTTAAAATCTCGTCGCCCGCGAAGCGTGGACCGCGCGTGGATCATAGCGAGCTGCAAACTCGCATTGCCCATCTATTCCTCGATTCTCCGTAGAAACTGTTTCTTTTCTCTCCTTTTCTTTTTTCTTTACGTTTGATCTTCTGTTTAGTTATTGCAGTTTTGTTTTATTTCTTTATATTGCTTAAGTTTTTTAAATTCATAAATTTTCTCGAAGTCCTTCGCGAGGTCCTGCGATTCACGTATTTCTACTTCTAATGTGTTCAAAACGCCCAATTCAAAACGTATGTTGAATTTGTGTCAGATAAATAGTAAAAATACAACGCCAAGCCAAGAACATTTTTAATGTGGCTCTTAGCC